ACTGAGACCTTGAAGATCATTTTGCCAGCTGCAACTTGCCGGCAGGACAATTATCTGTACAGTCATCGCTTGTCGAAATAATGTTCGTTAATTCTCGCCAGCGAGTTTGTGAGATGAGTTTCGTACACCTGCACGATTCGGAACCTTGGATACCCGTCGACAATTACAGATTAATTAAAAAACCCCGAAAGGCATCTCTCTTTCGAAATTCGATATAGTCACACCTGTAAGATTCTTCTTTACGCAAATTACGCGTTCCAGCACGTACACGAAGACCTTGAAGAGACGTGTCTAAACGTTAGTGTACATAAAGTGTAGTCCGCGATTTTCATAACCATCGACCAACATTTTTCGTATCCGAGAACGCGGAAACCGAGACCTTGAGGAGAAATCACGCGGGCGCGCACTCTCGCTCTTCTTCTCGCAATAAGTCATCTCGTCCGTACGGTGACGTCAACTGTCAAAAGCCGCGATCACGGCCATAGATTTCATAATGATCACTTTCTACTTTCGACGTGAGGAGACCGGCCTATCGCGATTCGCGACTCATCATCCTTGAATATACCTCCGTACGCTTCAATCACGTGTCAATGACACTTGACCCTTGCATCGCAAACGCGATTTCGCGAGACGATTATTTTTATTGAAGAAATACCAATACTCGAAATTGAAAGTGATGACATAGCTAAGATGAACGAAAGACGGATTCTCAATAATTATTAATCAAAATAAATTTCCAGACGGCAGGATGAGGCTTATCGCAACGATCCTCGTCGTTGCTTTCTCGAGCGCAGCGACGGGCCAGGATTTCGGCGGTCATGCGCTCTTCGTGAGAACTCCGGACGCGGATTCCGGTAAGGAAAAAAATGCGAAAGGACTCTCCACGAGTCCGCCTATAGCACGATCGGCGGAGGAGAGAGGCGGTACAGTTGTTGTGGTTACTCAATATCAACGATTGATCACAAACGAATGGTTTGAAATTCATTAGCACGCACGAGAGTCCAGCGGGCTGCTGCCTCAGCATCGCCGGCAGACGTGATGGCGCAAAATATCCTAGAGTGGATTCAGGGGATCTACCAGCAGGGCACACGTAAAAGTAGGTTTCCGACTTTCGGTCATCGACGGGAAACGGCGCGAAGCCGTCCCATCGCCATGCGCGCGAGTAAACGCAGTTGTATTTCTTCTTTCTTCTCTTACGACGATCGAATCTAGCTATCTGACGTTGCGCGCTGATTTATAGACGATTCAGTGTCGCTGATGGTCAGAAGGACGCATACTACCACGGATGTAAATCACAATTTTGTGCGCAAAAAGCTGCAATTATGTGCAGCCAAAGCCGCCACACCAATTTAGACGTTAAACACGCAAAATTATTAACCCACAACTCGCCGCGCTATTAATCAATCATTTAATCGTGACATCTGGACATCACGAAAGTCTCTTCATGTTCGACGCTGGGATTGGCTTTGATGCACGCTTGATCCGACCGACAGCAAGTCGTTTTTACTTACAACGCACTATCGAGTCAATGCACTCTCAATTAACTTTTGAGCATATACACTTCGTTCTCTATACTTTCTTCTTCAAAAATTATATTTGAATTAAAATAAACTTGGCAAATAAATATGTACTTGTAAAATTTATAAATTTGTAAGGCAAATTAATATTTACAAGCCTTAATTATTAATAGCATCAATAAAAAGTATTGCATTTTTTTATATTTTTAATTATCATAATTTCTCAATGCTATTTTGTCAACATAATTTAAAAAATATTCTAATTTATGTAGTTTAATATTTATTTAACGTTTTGTTTCTATTGTGTAATTTACAAAGAAAAAGCTTTCAAAAAGAAAAATTATTGTATAAGTAACTTTTTTAAATAGATTTTCAATGGTAATATACTTTATATTTGCAATATATATATGCAATAATGTTTATGAGAATCATCGCAGTGGATTCTCACTCTCGACAAGCTCACGTGTTGTTACAGCTCGCCAGCAATCGGACTCAAACGCATATCTGCCACCGTTCAGCACTCAACGACCGCCTGAGAAACCTCGGCCATTCCAACCAGCCACGAGTCAACAACCGAGTTACTCATCTCCTGTTCAGAGACCGTCGTCGCTCTATACGCCACCAAACACCGGTTTCCCAACATCCGGACAACCGACGTACCCCAGCCCGAGGCCGAGCTTTCCCAGCAGCCAACAACCTTCATCAACATACGTGCCGCAAGGCTTCAGCGGCTCCTCGTCTTACAATCCGCGACCGAGCCAACCATCATACACTAATACGGGCTCGTCGGCTTTTCCGCCGCTGAGCTCTCCAGAACCATCAAGCACTTACCTTCCGCCGCAGCCGTCGTCTTTCCCGACAACCAGTCCAACACCATTCGTCGGATCGTCATCCTTGGGCGAGTTTCCCGGCAGCGGCTTCCAAGCTTCCAGCGACGCCAGAAGCACTTCGGGTAGAGTTTTTAACACTAGTTCCGTTTTATCATTTGCAGCACCGGACTATCCTTCGAAACGCTCAAATTCCTTTGGACCAGGTGGCTATCCTTCAGGACAGCCCACAGGTCCAGGTTTCTTTCCAGGTAGCGCCAGCAATGGCTATCCTAGTGCGGGTTACCCGAGTAGCGGAGGAGGTTCGACTTCAACCGGTGGCTATCAATCTTCCACTCCGTTCCCTCCTTTCACTACACCTGGTGGAACTCCTGGTGGAACTACTTCACCAGAAGGTCCTCGAACTGAAGCTAGTGGAACAGGCGAAACCACACAAACCGGTGCAGGTACGTTCTCCTAAAATTAAAAAAAATATAAACATATAATACAGGAAAAAATAATTTACAAATTTATTAAGCTTCCGATGAAGAAGACGATCTCAATCATCCGCCGCATATTCATAATCTTGATGTTATGTGCAGTAAAACCATGATGACGATTAATATTGAATTTAATCGCGCTTTTGACGGCGTTATTTATTCTAAGGTAAATGCATATTATATGCAATAGTAAATGCATATTATATGCAATGAATAAAATTTATATTCTCTCGCATCAAATTTCATCAAATAATAATTTATCAATATTGCCCAATTTTTCAGGGATTCTACATGAACCCGGAATGCAGATACGTAGAACAAAATTCTGGCCAAACGCAATACTCTTTCACTGTAAATCTAGACTCATGTGGAACTCAATTCATCAACGACTTTGAGGGTGAAGCTGGCCAAGCATATTTGGAAAATGTCCTTGTATTGCAGGTCAATATTAATCTGAGCTAGCTAAATTCGTTAATCTAAATTTTTTTTATTTTATTTTAAAAAATCGCGTTCGATTATTAGATATTATTATCATAAATTTCTATTGTTTTAGAACGAGCCGGGCATACAAGAAGTCTGGGATACAGTGCGAAGAGTACGCTGCCTTTGGGAAGGAAACATCAATAAAGCCTTAACAGTTAATTTCTCAGTAGACATGTTAAATCAGGAAATCGTTACCTTCAGCGGCGATACGGCTACGGCCAAATTGGATATTCAAATCGGCAAAGGACCTTTCGCACCAGCAGCCGATGGACTCGTAAAGATCGGAGAGACAATGACTTTAGTAGTCTCTGTGGAAGGCGATCCCGGTTTCGATCTGCAGGTACGTTGTATTAAACATTATCTGATATTCGTAATAATAAATCATGTAATAAAATCACGTGAATATAGTAGAATATGCGAATATAATTAATTCATTAATACATGAAAAATAATGGCAAATTGATAATTATTTCTCAACATGGTTCGTGTATGTTTCTAAAAACTTGATTGCAAATAAAATATCTGAATATTAAAATATGCAACAATGATGAAATGTATAACTAACCTGAAGGTACGCGATTGTGTGGCGCGAGACGAGGACTCGACCAATATGCTGCAGCTCACAGACGAGAGAGGCTGTATTTTGAAACCAAAGTTATTCGGCGCTTTCCAAAAGACAAACGATACAGGAAATACAGGCGCATCTATTATTGCTTATGCGTTCTTCCAAGCTTTTAAATTTCCCGACGTTATGGATCTAATCATCGAATGTAATATCGAATTGTGCAAAACGGATTGCGAAGCTTGCCCGGAAGCAGATCAGGTAAGGCAACAATAAAATTACTAAATCGTTGAAATACACTGTCGTGTCTCGCGCCAGTTTCAGACATGACGGCGTGGCGGTTCGTATGAATAATTTTTTCTCATTTTATATTTTATTTGTTGAAATTATAATATATATAGCACATAAATATATATATATGGCACACATATTCAAAAATTTTATAACATTCAAATATTTTATAAAAATTTTATGATTTTTTTTTTAATTATTAAAAAATTTTTTCCTTTATGATTAAAAAACGTTATTTTTATATAAATTATCAAACATTCTTATAAATTTTTTCAAGACTACTCCAAAATAAATTATTTTTAATTTGGCTAATAAATATATAAATAACTTTATTTAAATTTTTAAATGTTTTATTTGTCCTATTTATTTTTATTTTTAAGATAAAATTTTATGAAGTTTGATTTAGAAACTTGATTGTAAATAAGAAATATGAATTAAACATGTGATGCTAGATTAATGTATAATTAATCTTCAAGTGCATAACTGTTTTTCATAATTTATATTAATTTTGAAATAATCTGTTTTAGCAAATCGAGCCAGGTAGACGTCGTCGATCTGTGACGTATGCACCACCTTCTAACACTTCAACGAGTTCAGTTTTGTTATCGGATCCGGTTCGAGTTGGACGTCGTTTCAAAGTGATCATGTTAGATGATTTAAGCACAGCATCCAGCCAAATTCTGGAAAGCATGGAAGAAACGGCTGTCGAAGCAATGACAAAGACTAACAATGTGTGCATGAGCAATAGTAGCTTCTACACAACGTTCTCTTTCATGCTGAGTACGCTCTTCTTTGCGACCATTAGCGCAGCTGTGTTGTACATAAAACTAGAACGGATCCGTAGAACAAAATCTATGAACTCGTAGAAAGGTATTATTGACAATGCCTGTATCGATATTATCGTAATAAGGAACGGAAAGGAGTTACGTAAGAGACAACGAACGCGTGCCAGTAATCAAATAATATTTAAACAATAAGTGATTATTTTACCTTATCGCTTCGTAATCATTTAGTTATGAAGGAATTGATGAAAGGATACTGGAGGAAAATGTATACTGAGATGTCTGGAACGCTTACTACACAGTCGGTGAATTGTGACGACGAAGTTTTATTAAACTTGTTGCTTCTGCATATCTATAAACAAATTTCAAATCAGTGTTAATACTATAATTCATTGCAGAGCGTTAATGTTACATGAACAGGATAAATTCGTTCTGCTCGATAGCAGAATAGGGAGATGCAGCCATATTTTACATATCAATTTATGAATATACAATAAGAAGCTACTCGTACGATCTTTGGACGACGATAATGCTCATTTTGCGTAATACTGGATGCCGATACGATATGATATTTATTATATGTTTCGATATTATATTAGTAATATAGATCTTAAGAACGTTAAAATAAATTATAATACATATTTGTAAAAATAAGGGTACTTCATTTCAAGTTTTTCCTTTTACGAACGAATAATTACTACTTCTTGTGCTAAAAGTGAAAAGAGAATATAGAGATAAGAAATTGTGTCATTATTCCTATGTAACATAACATTATAAATGAATTATATATAATTATATACTTATTAATTAATTATTAATTGTATTTATGGTACATAAGTTTACATGTGACTTAAATAACATTATAATTATCGATAAAAAGATCATAATTGAATATATCCTATCTGCAACTCATCATGGAAAAAATAACAATTATATAAAAGAAGTCCTATAGAAATTATATTCGTAGTGACGTTAACTTATTTCATTTTCCTTGATTTTACGAAAACGCAAAACATACAAGTGCTCTCCTCTTACTTTCCGCTCACAAACAATCCTACCAGACATATTTAATTTTTGAAAAGCACTAAGAATATATTCAGGGTCATTTTCTTTAATAATGACCAGATAAAAAATTCCTGCATCTGACAAAATCTCTGGAATAGTAGTGAATATTTGTTCCATAACTTGTCTACCATTTTTACCACCTGCCCAAGTCTTAAATATGAGTCTATCATCTAGTACTTCCTCGTATTCAGTAACAACGTATGGCGGATTGAATAAAATAATATCAAATGTATTCCTAATTTGAATACAATCTAACAAATTCATCTGAAGAACATCTACATCAACAGAATTAATCAGACTAGTTCTTTTTGTGGCCCCACATGCATCAGGATTGATATCAATTGCCATAAAATGAGCGTTGTGATGTCTCTTCAATGCCATTGCTAAAGCTGTAATAACTATACCAGAACCACTACCTATTTCTAAACAAATCACAGGCTTTACCATTTCCAGAATTTTTGAATCAGCTTCCAAAGCATCTATCAAAATGTATGAATCCTCCGAAGGCTCGTATACTGTTTTGAGCTCATTATCTGATAAGTTAACTATTGGAGTTTCCATGGCTTATATAAAATTTTACATAAAACATACAAAGTGATAATTGGCAAATAACAATTTAAAAATAATATCACATATGTATAATTAATATTAAAAAAAAATTAACTGTTGTTTATCAGCTTCCGCTTCAGCTGTTTCCTCTTTATCTGGTTCAGCACTAGTGCTGCTATACGCAGAACTATTATCTAACAATGTTTTCCTCTTGGCAGTGCTCTTCTCAACAGCTTGATGTACTTTGTTCAATCGTTCTTGAGTGGTTTGCAAGATGTTGCTAACGATTGTGATTTTGTGTTTAGCATTAATAAGTTTCTTTACATAAGCATCTGTTTCCATTGGATATTGCAATGCATCGTTAATTCTCTGAAGTTCTTCTACCAAAGATTCAATTCGCTGTTTCAGCTCAATTTGACATATTCTATAAAAAAAAATACAAATTGATCAGATCAAATCTTTAAAAGTTTGTGAACTTTTATAAGATGACAATAAAGTAAAGATGTAACAAATAAACTGTAATTTTTTTCTCCACTGCAACAAATAAATAAATGAATAAATAGATCTCAATAAACACATATTTTGATAATATATTACGCTCATTTGTGAGAAAACTATAAGAAAAGATAATTAATAGAAAAGTAAATTAATTTTGCAAAAAGATGTATCGTAGGAAGATTTCTCATTCGTGCATGCGCATTGCAAAGAATCATAATGAAAAATTTGCAGTTACCTTGTAGCACGAATTCTATCATCTAATTGATCCACCGTTGGTTTCAAAAGACTCATAAGACCTTCCGTTAATGCATCTCGTGTAGGATTCTCGCAAAAATCATCTATCTTATCGTCAATAGACGTATTATCACTCGCCGTGTCCACATCCATGTCGTGATCGTCGAGGAAATATTTGAGGTTATGCAAGGTGTTCGATATATCGATACATGCCTGATTGCGATTCTCGAATTTAAAACCGGAGGTTATGCGAGACTCGCTGTGAGGTGTTCGATATATGGATACACGTCTGATTGCGATTCTCGAATTTAAAACCGGAGTCCATAACAGTCCTTTCTAGTCGTTTAGTGAATACGATACGGTGTAGGTCGTGTAATCTTATTTCGAGTGATTTTATCGTGCAAAATGAAGGTTTTTACCACAAAAGTAAATTTTATATACGTATTATGTTGCAATATTGTAATTTCGTGATCCGCAATCTGTTTCTACCTGCGAATTGATCAATAATCTTCGTATATATCAAGATCTTTTTTCTCGTTTGCTTCCCAAAACGCAACGAAACTGCAACAAACTGCAGGTACATGATTATCACTAAATATATACATAAATATTGTTATTTTGTTATTAATTGAGTCAATACATAATGAGATACAAATGAGTAATCACTGTTTTTCTTGATTAATTGTAAGATATCACAAATTGTCTCTCTTATTTTGGTTTATTTTAACGGCGATTTTACTAGAAACTGTATATATGATATATATTTTCTGTAAATCATTAGAGTTTAATCTGAAAACTGAAACTGCTATAGTTTTGATAAATTTATGTTCAACTAAACAAAGACTATTATTACATACAAAGTTATCTAAATATCAACAAAATAAAGAAACTAACAGAAAAAATAAATTACACACAATAAAATAAAATAATATTATTATACCAGGCTATTAATTTTATTTTTGCTGCTTGTACAGTTTGAGTAATATAATAATAATAATTTTTTTTCAGATACTGTTTGTGAAACAATACATCATCTTTTTTCTTCACTACATGTGTGATTTCATATCAAGGATGATTTCATACATTAGAAGCGGTGGAACTTATTTTTTCTTAATTTTATTGTGCCAATTGCAAGACTGCTGCAACAACCGGTGAGTAAAATATTGAATTTTGTAATAAACAATTATTCTATTATAATTTATTACTATTGTATTAAATTATATGATTTATATATCTAAATGATATAATTATTATACAAATTTTATCAACTTTGATGCATTTTTATGAACTGAACAAAAGAGAATACAATTTGCTTGGATTTTATTTTATTTTAACAACGAACACGAAATATATTTTGCAAATATTTTCAAATACACATGCATTTTCTCAGGAATTGCAAAGACAATATTTTGGTGTACATTACAATAAAAAATATCATTTTTGATAAATTTGTGGTAAATTATGTAATAGATAATAATAGATTTCTAAAATATTGTGTAAGAATATTATTGTTTTTCGCGGAGAAAAACGAAAGGCCAGAAAACTATGTCAAAAAACACATTAAAAAAAGATAAGCTGGCCGTTCGATAAGTTTTCATTCTTGCGGGATTTTCTGTTGAAAATGATTTTGCAAAATTATTGGTGAGACTTGACTTTTCGTCATTCTTGTCGGTAGCTTTAACGTTACTATTATTGACGTTATAATCCGACAATACATCCAAGTTTTCGGAACTCGTATTAAATTTATGATGTTTTATCGATTTCCTAGGTATAAATTATTGCCATAAATATAATTGTTTAAATATAATCTAAAAGACAAAGACTTGTTACATTTTACGACATAGGCATTTTACTTTTGCCATTTTCTCGCGCTTTCCATTGCGGGAGAACTCCAAGAATCAGTTTCGGTATATTGACGAATAGAAGATGCGTATTTATGATTATTACACGATTGGCATTTGCATTTTAACGTCATGCTTTTTAACAATGTGGCGGAACGCGGATCATCACCAGCGCCTGTGTTAATTTGTGATTTGCTTATTGGTGTCGGCAAATCTTCTTCATCAGCATCCATTTCGGAGTTTTTTTCAGAATACAAAAGATCTCTAAGCAAAAACAAAATATTTTTAGTTATTGCAAAATTTTCTACAAGTACAAGAATACGTAATAATACGAAAATATGAAATAACTTTTTTTTTTTTTAACATTTGACTTACACTGAATTTCTGTAGCCAATTTGCAAGATGTCTTCAGTTTTTGATTGTTGATAATCAACCATATTTAAAACTTCCTTCTTTAAATTATTTCCTGAGTTGCTAAAGTTATATATGCTTATATAATAATTATATTTTTATTGCATATAAAATAAAATTACTAAGCAATTGTAAAATAATTAAAAATATGATATCATATCTGATCATGATCTGATATCATATATTTCATTATCTTTTCAATAAAAATCTAATTAAAATTTTATTTATGCGAGAATATAAAATATGTATATATATAGATTCAATGATTATTTATTGATATAGTTATTCAACTAATCATATAATCATTCTCTTATTTTATATATGGATACTAACGTTTCCTCCTCACTGCATATCATAGGTGATCTTATATTTGTCGGACGGTTGAATTTATTCTTTGCCGATGATTTTGTCTTGTGTTAATTAAAATTATTTTAAATTGAGAAGATGCATATTAGAAAAATTAATTATATATTTTATAACTTTTATTTTATACCTGATAAGCCTGAGATTCTCGAGACATAAAGAAATTAGGCTTTATTAGACGTGGAATTTTGCTAGCCTTATTTCGGGAATTATACAATTTTGCATTTTTGTTAATTTTGTTAAAATTTTCTTTATACGAATTTCCCGTTTCTTGATGTATATAAGTAACTTTATTCGTAATATTTTTTCTATTTTCTATGACGTTTAATGATTTTTTAATATCTCTCACATGTACCGAATCCTATAAATATTATACAGATTAGTACAAAATTAATATATTTAAAAACAAAATTTATTAAAACAAACTTGAAAATTGGACAACGTTTCACAATTTGTAATAACATCGTTTTTTCTCTTTTCAATAGTATGTCGTGTAATTTCCGAGGAAAATATTGAATCTTTTTTAATATTTATGACGTCGCGAGTTTGCGGACGAATCTCCACAGTCTTTTTTGTTTCTAAAACTATCGTTGATGATCTGCCACTATTTGAACAAAACGGGTCCTGCGTATTATTATCGATTTCCAAATATGTAGGGATATCAGGTTGACTGATGGCTGCCTCATAATCATAAGATAGAATTACAGGCTTTGGTTTGGATTTACTTTTTGCAGTAACTATCGAGTCAGTCGGTTCTTTGTTAATTGCATTTTCGCGTATACTGCGACCTGATGGTGGGTTCATCGTATTTCCAACATGATTGACGCTATAGTTCAAATTATATTTATTTTGATTTTTAATTACTATATCATATATTTGTGTCGCTTCAGGTTTAATTAAAATTAAAACATACAATGATATTATAGTAAATTAAAGAGTCTAATACTAAAAATATAAGAAATAAATAATTTTTTAAATTAAAAATATTTTCTAATAGAAATATATTAATATCTGAAAAATATTATTAGTGTAGATATGTACGAAGGTAACAATAAAAAAGATGCAGTGCACTGTTCTATTTATGTTTCTATTATCAACATAGAAAATGGATACGTTATCTTTTTTTACGAGCACTTACTTGGAAGTCATAGACTTGCAACCATTAATCTGCAGTTGACTTTTAGATGATTTGCGTATTTTAAGTTTAGCTAAAAGTTTTAATATCGCCTCGGATCGTTTGCGATCGATTTTGCGGGAGTAATCGTGACGTGTTGCGACATTTACGCATTCCGCTTCTTCATTTTCTTTTCCCGTATTTGCTTTTCGCGTTTGTAAAAACTTGTACTGAAGTTGCGATCTAAAACAATGCTGCGATTTTCTTAAACTCGCCAGTATCTCAAGTATATTCACATTTTTCTTGGATATTTCTACAAACTCTATGTTTTAACCGTTTTTTTCTGACAGTTTTTTATCATCAGGTTGATGATAATCGCGCATTTCAGTGCTGACTCGATTATCGAAATTCTTCGATCTCTACCATATCCGTTTTGTTAATTAGTGTCTAAATGGTCACATTCACAATGTAAAAATTTGATATACAATCTTATCATTAATATACATATTTTTTATGATAATTATGAATATATAAAGTATACTCGTTAAAACATTAGTTAATATCGCAGTTTTAACGATATCAATAATACTAGAAAAAAAAAGAATTATATGTATAAGATTTTTTAGAGATTAACACATTAATTATATTACTGCTAGCCATGCTCAGTGGCCAGATATTTTCATGTCCTATATATTTGCACACGAGAATTCGTGTGATCCGCTTGAAGCATTAACATAATAAACACGAGATTTCTCGTGATTTGTCCGCAATGTTAAATTTTTAGATATTTTTAATTGATTATCTAATTGTAGTAATGTTAATACTAATTTTTCACATTTATCCATGAAGTCACAATCTATAGGAAAGTATAAAATGTGACTTGAAGATTAAGATTTTTAAGTTTACTTTGTTGTAATATTATTTCGCCGTGGAGATAAGTCGTTATCTTAGAACAGGTCTGTGTAAAAGTATACGGAAAACAAATCGCGCGATTTTTTCGTAAGCCAGGAACATCAAAGCGGCTGTGAAAACAGTCTGTAAAAGTTTAGCCTCCATCCCTTTGTACAAGCCACTTATCCCTTGCTTCCTGCAAGCAAAAATTACACATTTAAGTTATTAATTTTTTTCAATTGAAACAAGATATAATATAAAATAAATTAATAGTACATTTATTTAAAATTATTTTTCACTTACTTTAAAATGTAGAACAATATTTGTAACGTGCCTGCATTTGGAGGTAGATTAGGAAACTTGTGTCCATGCTGAAAGCACAATATTTAGCCATTAAAAAACGTACAATAATTTTTTCACCTAAATTGATTTTTAGAATAAATTTAGCATATAATTAACGTATTATCAATACCCTCAATTTTGTTTGCACAAGCTGCAAGGGATATGTTAACGACGTGGCAATCGTTTTCGCAATCGCGCCAATAGCGAAAAAAATCCACGCTGGTGGTTGAGTACCGCTGAAAGATGCATTGACCCTTCTCTTGATACTCTCGTATGTCATAAATTGAATGGCAGGATTCGTCACGAGCATGAGACTCGGCAATGTTCCCGCCCACAGCTGCTCCAAACCTTCATACTTCCATATGTGCACGAGTCCGTCTATAAATTATGCAATGACGTAAGAAAATTGCACAATCTAGCAGTTAATATATACAAAACATTAGAGCCATATTCCACAACTAACGCAATATAGATTATTTTTAACTTTATCTAAAGATTAAAAATAATTTTGTTATCAGTAACGGATCAATTTTCTGTATTCTAGAAAACATAATTATTCCACATAATTGCACGATTCTTTAAATTTAATTAAAAATTGTACAATTATGTGGAATAACTACGCTTTCTAGTGCTCAAATTTATTGGTCACTGATAACGCATTATTTACATTATTTTTATCGATCGTACTGATACTTTATCGTCTGATGCAATTTTTAGCATCGTTAATTAGCATGTATACATATATGCATCTGCAAGATTTTTATGATAACGTTAAAATAATTCTTTAAAAAATATTCATTATTTAACTATCTTATGTTGACAACTCATCCAATTTTGAGTTCACGATTTAGCAAAATAATCTGTTCACCCGTGATAATGCGATATCTTAATGCTTAATGAGTATTGTAATTGTATAAAGCATATATCTATGTATATTCGTATATATGCATATATTTTAGAATGAATACGTCATACACGATGCATATATATATATATATAGGGTGATTCAAAACAATCTACTGTCCTTGCATATTCTTGAGCGAATTCTGAGACGATTTTTCCTTTTACAAAATTTTGTCCGAAGCTTAGTTTTCGAGTTATAATTGAAAATAGTTTGCTACTTACGAGTCCGATACAACGGGCAGGCAGGAACGAGCAATGCGTCATAAGACGCTAGTAAACACTTGATAGTCTCATTATACGTTGCGCGTCCCTGCCTGCCCGTTATACCGGACTCGTAAGTTGCTATT